TTTGTGCCCCCCCCCCCCCCTTCATACATTTCACTTAAAGACAAAAATGCATCATTTTAAAAGCTAAAATATTAAGTGGATATTCCATAAACATAAGCTAAAAAAAAGAAAATTTGAGATACTGCTGACAAAACTGCAATTAACTGTTGAACTAGGAAGAGAACTGTTGTACAAACCTCTTTGTGTCCAGAATTCATGAAAACATGCCTACAGTCAGCATATCTAGGTGAAAGTTCACAGCTTGCAGCCTAAGGCTTTAGTAAGCCTCACTACTAATGCTATGTATTTGATTCCGTTTGAGCTAGGAAGTGACTTCTACGACAGCCAGAATCAAAGTTTTCAAGTCTAAGTTTGGGTAGCTAATAATTTTGTCTCCTTAAAACAGATTTAACCTCAAAACATTGAGCATTCAGCTAAGTCTGAGGTTTACAGCCAACTAAAGGTATTGTATGAGGTATCTACTACTCTGGAAGCTTAACAAATTCTCTTTATTAAAAATCTAAAAACCCACCAGTCTGGATATATTCACCTAGAAATTGATACATTGTTAGAAGACTCACTCTTAAAATCACTAAGACACTCACCACAAGCTCTTCAACAGGGACAATGAAGAGTTTTCTCAATCTCTTTCATGCTATATCATACTTACATTAACTTTTTTTTTCTTTAAACAGGATGAAGACACCTACATAAATAGCTAACTACTAGTATTAAGTCTTGTGCTCAAATTCAGTGTTCCAGCCCAAACTTTGCATTTAAATATTTATTCTCTCTGAAGCAGCAGCTCATTTGTGAGACACTTATTGCCAACACAACTGATCCCACTGATCTTAAAACTAATTTGTCTACAAGATCCCAAGAGATTTTGCAGTCTGTTTCAAACGAGAACAAAGATTTGTTTCCTGCACGTGGTAAGGGTTATTGGAGTATTTGGCTCTGTGAGCATAGTGAATGTAGCTAAAGGAACACTTCCACCAAAATACAGAAAGAATTCTTTAAGCTGGAAATGTGAAAGTTCTTCTTTAAAAATATCTGCACCTTAAAAGCACTAACTCCAGCAAATTTGAAATCAGAGATTTTCCAGAAGTAAAATTATCTGTCAGGCTCTTGGAATTAAAATTGTTTCCCAATTTTTACTTAAGGTAGCCTGCCCAAGGTGCATCCAGTGGGTATCTGAGGCTTGATGTGAAGTAAACCTTTCAATAAGAGAAGGAAAAGAAAAGAAAAGAAAAAATAAAAGAAATCGTTGTGCAATCATTAGTAGTACTTCAGGACTTAAGTTTCTACTAGCTACCAACAAAGGCTGAAAGGGATGTTTAGGCACTTAAAAACAAGAATATATCAGAACTTTAGTTAAAAAAAAGTATGTATTATTTACAGTGTAGCTATTGCTTTTCTTTTGTGAGGTTCAGAATGCCTCTATCTTCCCCCAAGGCCAGCAAAGAACCTCCCTGCTTTCCATCTACATGCTAGTTTTAGACAAATCACAAGGAAGCCAGTATTTTGATACACTGAACATTTATTGTCTTTCCCAAGACAAAATGAAGTTTCCCCTGCCGATGAAAAGCCATCAAGATGACCATAGAGGGGACAGGGTGCAAAATTCCAGTGTACAGTATACGCAACAAATTACCTCCCTGACTACCCTGGAAGAATGATGATTGACCAATCTCACTGCAACTAAAAAAACCGGGATTATAAAATATTTACAGAAAAGAACAGTACAGAAAATAAAAACTGGACAACCATGTGTATGAAATGCTGCTAACACTTTTCTGGCTCCTTGAAAGCCTGTTCCACTACCCTCACCAGAGCATTCATCAGGATGTGCAAGGATTCAGGCAGAGCATAGCCACCCCTCACTCCCACACCCCCCTCCCCAGAGTACCATTATCTCCCTCCAAGGAAGGGGGAGGACTCGAGGAAAGCAGCATCGCCTTCTTGACTGCAATTTCCTTCCACCAAGTAGACATGCTAGCTCTGAAAGGAGGTCCCCAGCCAAACCTCATCTCCAGCGGTCTCTATTCAGAGCATACCGGCAAGTTAACCTGTGGGTAGGGAACTATTCCCTGTCATGTGAGCCCTTTCATTGCTTGCAGGAGGACCTCTCCTTCTCCTCCCTCTGCAGTGGTCTGATCTGTGTTGAGGGGCAGGAAAGCTAACTAGGACTATGACAGGTCACAGGAGACCTTCCATTTCTTTCATGAAGGCTTCATACACATCATCCTTTGTCTGTACAGAGATAGGGGCAGACGATCCAGCCTTAGGGGCAGCTTTGGTTAATGGGAGAGCAGGCTCATCATCCTGTTTTCTCTGAGAGGCAGCAGAGGCCCCTTTATTCTCCCGGCGAACTCGCAAGGCAGTGGGCACAAAGCGAGTGATCTCTGCCTTCGGGTTAGTGATCTGTGGCTTGGCACTGATAGTGGCCGTAGCTTTCTTCTCAATGGTGGCCGCACTGGTGTCATCCGCCTTGGGGCGCTGAATCAAGCTGGGTGGGGCACTCAGTACCCCAGGATTTGGAATGGGAGCTGGTGGGAAGAGCCCAGGTGGGGCAGGTCCTAATGGAGGCACCAGAGGTGGCCGTAACATGCCTGGGCGAGGAGGAGGGATACCTGCAAGAAGAAAAGGTCTTAATCTTAAGGTCTTAATCTTAAGGTCTTTTCCAACCTAAACGATTCTGTGATTCTATCTAATTCTAAGTATGAGCTGACTCCACACCTGGGAGTCTTCAAGTCTTTGGTCAAAGAAAGTGTACAGGCTCAGAAAGCCAAGAAGGAAAAACAAAACAAAAAACCAACAAGATGCAGTAGCACTGGCTTTAAAAAAAAAAAATTTCAACCCTGCACCAAATGCTGGGTTGAAAACACTGCTGCTCCTCAGACTTTGAAAGCTACAGGAGCTCATGTATTGCTCCCTTCAAATTTTGAAGTTATACTTTGAAAATAAAGTTTCCTGATGATCCATCCCACTGGAACTTCAGTCACCAGAAATGCCTGACCAGGCAGAAAAAAATAAAATATCCCTGTCTCCAAGTCATTAAGTGGAGCACCATTATAGCACCCAGGGGTTATTCAGAAACAGTCCAGCAGAAGATTAAACTGAAATTCCCCTTTTGAGGACAGACTTCTTGCTACCAAACTACACAGAGCAGTATGGAATTACTTGTTGTTATTACATACAAAAAGATACAGCACAGTGCAGCCACACAGACAGGAACAAAGGCAAACTGGTAACTGCTTATACTTCCTGGCTTGGTCACCACAGCAAAAACTGGGAAAATAAAGCAGGGACAGGGCTGGCGCTGAAGCAAACAGAACACTTTACCTGGTGGGGCAGGAGGGGGCAGACGAGGAGGGGGCCCACGTGGAGGAGGACCTGGGGGCAGACCTGGTGGGGGACCTGGGGGAGGGCCAGGTGGTCGCCCAGGTGGAGGGCCCGGTGGTAGAAGTCGAGGTAAAGGCCCACGCAATCCTGGTAAGCCAGGAGGTCTCAGGAATGGAGGAGCTCCTGAAAGCATGCATACAAAAGACAAACTTAGTTCAGGTTTGGGAAAAACAACAAAAAAAAACCCACAAGAAACCAACAGCTATCCCATCAGCCAATACTAAAGATCTTCAACAGTAACTTGAAAGCTATTCTAACACTAGCCAGCAGCCAGATTAAATAGCTCTTCTAAAAATCTCAAAAAAAGGTAGCAGTTGTAGAGTTAAAGCTTCTTCATAATAGTCAACTATAAGTATCTTCTCCCACTTGGTAAAAGGGCTCCTCTCCATGTAATGAAGCAATAGCTGAGAACAGCCACTGAGCTGAGGTTGTCCGAATTTAAAACAGCTGAAAGGGAAAGAACTTTTCACTCTAGCATTTGATTGCCCTTCTGGCCTGAAAAGAAGTAATTTTGCTCTATTGAAAGTAACTGTTTTGAGGTTTGCAGTTCCCCCTCTGGGGGGGGATCAGAAATAGAACAAAGGAAGACACTGGAAAGAGAACTTTGCCTGCCTGATATCACCCTCCTTTAGAAAATCATGTTGTTAATATGCCCATACAGAATAAAGTACATTAAAATCATAGTATATAGTGTTCCTCGCTACAGTCCAACTACTGATCTTTGCAATTTAAGTGTAAGAACAAGCAACAGATTTATACACTTTTTTTAATTACAAAACAACCTGTTACTGTTATCCAGTTCAGCTATATGGCAACCCCATCAGGTTACAGAAAATAAACTGCTGTCTTTCTCCAGATCAAAGAAACTTAAGTGTGTGCCCTCCAACAAAAAAAAAAAAACACAAAACATATACTGCAAAAACTGGTACTGAGTGGCCTCATTGCTAATAGTCTCTAGGCAGTCCTATATTGATATGAATTCAAATTTAGTACTTATTTCATCTGAGGGTAGTTATCTTCCCTAACAAGTCTGATATACATTCAGGTGTAGAATCGCAGAAGCCTTCACACTGTAGCTTTTAGTAAAAACAACACACCAAAACTGTAACTAGGTAGTGACTCCCAAACCTCTTTAATCATTCCTCACTCAGGGGGTAGGGATGTGTGTGGGGGGGAACACCACAAGAAAATAAAACAATGGAGAGGCACATGGCACCAGGCCTTGTTCTTCATACTCCAACACTGGCTCGACTGCTGCCTGTCAGTGTTAGTGCTAACAAGTGAGCCAACACCTGTCCAGCTGACAACAGGAGCCCGATGCCCCAAAAGCATAGTACAGCAACAACAGACTGACCACAGAAGAGATCAAACAAGTCTCAGCAATTACCACACTAGGCTCCTGTACCTCATCTGCAACAGCTTCGAAACTCCCAAACTCATATGCTGTCTGTAGTACCAAGAGCCTGCATCCTTCAAATTCTAGTAAAGTAAGTATTCACCTGGTGGAGGGCCAGGAGGAAGGCCGGTGGGTGGTCCTGGGGGCCTCAGTGGAGGGGCCGGAGGGGGTCCTAGCGGAGGTGGCCCTGGCATAGGGGGTGCCTGTATCTGAGTTGGAGGAACAGGCTGCGGAGGCGGTTGCTGCTGTTGTGTCTGGGAGGTTGCAGCAGATGACCCAGTCTCTGCAAGAGCTTCCTCAGTGAGTTGTTGCTGCTGCTGTTGTTGCTGTGATGTCTCTTCAGACTCTGAGTCCTCTTCCTCCTCCTCCTCCTCTTCTGAATATTCCTCCACTTCTCTCCCTTCTTCAGGAATTTCCTGACCTAGAAATATTTATTCCCAGGGGATATTTTTAGGGAGTATTAATCCTTACAGCTTACAGACTGAGCCCATAGACAATGTCACCTTTTCTTTTTCACTAAGAGGTTCATATTTCATTTGAGCAACTGTTTAAAAGTTAAGCAAGATAAAATTTAGAAGAAAAAAATCCCAGTACATCAAAAAAAAACCCATGAGTTGCTACTATAACTTCAACTCTGCTCTGCAAGGCACACGCTTTACTAGAGTAAAAATAATTTAAAACAAACACCTAACCACAGCTTATACTCTTAGCAGACCTTACATTATGACAGTAAAGTATTTACTCTATGAAATCAAAACTGTGCAAACAAAAGTAAGCTTACAAGAGAAACCTTAACAGGAAGCCTCACGGCATATCTCCACTTAATATATCCATCTCACTCACCTGCCATTCGTAACATCATGGCCTGGAGTGGAGTCAGTTCTTTCATGTTCTTTTTCTTTTTTCTTGATTTCCCAGGCATGTCTGCAAACCGTACACTATGACCTAGGAAAAACAAAGCATGGGCAAGGGTGGTGGAGGTAGGAAGATAATAATAAAAAGTAATATAGATTTAAATCTTCTACCTCGTATGGATAATATAGCATTCCAACATAATGATGCTCCTTACATAAGAGTTAACGTTGGTGTTACTGGTTACCTGAAGTTTTTCCAACCTAGTATTTTCTATCAATTTGTCTCCCCCAATGAATCAAGAAAAAAATAGTAGTATGAAATTTCGTTCTCTTAGAAGTATTGTTCAAGTCACTGAAGAGCAAGTATATTTTACACTGAGGTTTAATTTTGGCAGGGTACCCTGCCAATTCAATACTTCAGGTGAAAAATGGCTTGCAACCTTACTAAGCTAACTCAACTGTTAAGAAAATAGGTCCATCTGAAAAGATGCTTTACTTCTAGACAGTTTCCTTCTGATCCGTTTACTAATAAAAATTCTTCAGCTGGAATTTAGGTGAGTTAGCACAGTTAGCTTGCTAAACAAATTACTCCTCCCTCCCAGTCAGGAAAACAGACACAAACTCTGTTAAGTAGTATTTTTCTTTTAAAAAAAAAAAAAAAAAATCCAAGCCCCAATCTGTAACTTCCCATCATACCAGATTTCTTTTCTTCGCCACCTTCCCTCTCCTTGTCATTATCACGATGCAGGAAGTCCTCGCCTTCACTCTCTGCATCTGACCTATCGCTGTCACTATCATCACTACTCTCATCATGCTTGTCTTGATCCATATCCTCAGGATAACCTTCATCTTCACTGGTACTGGACATATCATCATCATGCCCTCGCTGTCCTGCAGGAAGCAAAGTATTAGGAAATGCATAAACTCCAAATACACTGGTGTGAAAGACAGAAAATTTTCTATGTCTATAGCTGGAAAAATCCCCCTAGCAACAGCATGGACATATTGTCAACCCTTTACTATTTAGCACATATTCTTAAAGAATATTTTGGAGAGTTTATTTATAAGATTTCCTATTAACCATCTGGTTCATTCGCACAGCAAGCAAGTGAAGCCAACTCCTATCTGCAACTCAGTAGTTCATTTCTGTTCAGCATCACCCACCATTGAAACACTTTGATGCTTTCTGGTATGCAGTAAAGCTGATCTACCCATTCACAAAAGTTTCTAGGGATGATACAGTAACTGTGTGAAAAGGAGGACCTAGGTTCTCCTAGCACATGCATACCCAGGGTCAGTTGGTGGTTTTGTTGTTGTTTTGGGTTGGTGGGTTTTTTTAGGTTTTTTCAGAGGTCTTTTTTAAAAAGGAAGACTTTTCTGAGAATGGTTGGGTTTTTTTAAGGGTGTCCTGGTTTCGGCTGGGATAGTTAATTTTCTTCCTGGTAGCTAGCATAGTGCTGTGTTTTGGATTTAGTAGGAGAAG